ACCCCCTAAAATCATTTAAGTCTTTTTGATAGGCTTTTTCAGGACCTACTCAAAAAATGTGTTAGGAGCAGAATTTTTCTGCCATAATCGATCTCAAATAATTGCATTTTTAAATATTAATATGGGTTTTTCACAGATGCTGTTTTCTCATTTCTAGCTAAGTGCAATAATACAATTTTTACAAGGGATATATCTGTTTCTTAGTTATTTGATTCTTCAGATGCAAAATGAAGATAGTATGTGAGTCACACCTTCCCAGGTGTTGTGGAGAGTAAAAGTGCTCCATGTTCCCAAGATTTGGGTGAAAATTCAAAATGTGATGGTTGGCATTCTTAATTCTGACATCATATTATGTTTATGTGTAGTTTATGCTAGGAATTCCTCGGCATCTGTTTTAGGTAACTAAAGGGGAAAACTTACTTTTAGTGTAAAAAAGTGGAAATGTAGTTAAGAGGGAAAAACTCTTCTATATGGAACTGGTCAGAACTGTAGGAATATTTGTGTCAGATCAATATTCAATATTTCTCAGACAGAAAATGGATTAGAATCTAGTCCTGATTTCCTGAGGCCAAGAAGGAATTGCTCACAACCAGACATTTGGATCAAAACTCTGGAGGTGTTCCTTACCTCTATTTTTCATTCTTATATACCATTAAGGCTGTCCAATTGGATTTTCCAAAAAAAAAAAAAAAAAAAAAAGAAATCCTACCGTTTTACCTGGTTATTCATATTGTTCTAACATGTAGCTTGGTTTCTGCCCCCATTCCCACCCTTACCAAGAAAGACTGGGAATAAACATGGTGGGGAAGGAACTCTATTCAGATTGCTGAAGCTGAAGCTTTAAAATTGCGCCAGATCATAAGATACAGAGTCCCATATGTTACAAATATATATAGAACATGTATTTCAAAGTTCCCACAGATTCTGTGCAAGCTTGTGAGCAGAGACTGTTGAACAGGTATTTTATTTAGTCTTCAACAACAGGTGAAGTACAACAAACCCATATCCCATAATGCACCGAGCACCCATGTCAGAGTATGGGGTCTTTACATCCTATAGTAATACTGGATTATTGATGGTGGAGAGGGAAGGCAATGGGACAAAAGATCTGACTTCAGGGTTTCCTCACAGCTGCCCCCAGTCCATCCCAAACTTCCTACCATCCAGCAAGTCCACAGCACAAGTCTGAGAAGAGGTGTGGCGGAGCATTCATAACAGGAACCGCTGAACTGTGGCCCATGCCTTCCCCCAACCTGCACATTTCTGTTACCCAGGTGAGTGATTTGTGCCATCTTAGCAATTTAATTCAAGGGCACCTCATGCAGTGTTTCCGTCCAGGCAGATCCACCAGGTGGGGACCAGGACAAAAGTGCCAATGGAAGCCCATGTGTCATACGGCTAAACAGTTAAAAGTTACATGGCAAGCTAACACAGGCTTGAATAAAATACATTCCAATCTGCCACTTTGACACAAATGCTTTTATAGGAATTGGAAACCCAGGTATCGACTTAGAATCCTTAGCCTGCTCAGAGTTCCTTCCGTCCTGGACCCTGGCCCTGAGGTAGCCCTAGTCTCCCCCTCCCACCTTTCGCCCCTTTCCTTTCATTCCTGAGCTCTGGTTTTCACCGCAAGGAGCTTCTTCTCGCTCCTGTGAGAATTCGCCAGTGTGCACTGCCTGTCACGACCGATTCACGAATCTATCCACACAGACTCACTGCTGGCCACCCTTGCGCCCAGGGATGTGTAGTCATGATGCATGATGCCGCTTGCCTTTAGGACCTTGGGCCCCCAGAAGAGGTGCATACATGCCGTTAAAGTGGCTGGAGGCCATCTGGGTAGGAAATACTAGGTTCCCAGCTACTAATACCAAGTGACAGGAGGGTCAGAATGGGTCCCTTTAAGCAAGGGCCCCTCTTTGCTGGGACTGAAGTGCTCCATCTAGGCTGGTACATGGTCAGGAATAAATCACTTCCATATCACAGCAGACCAGGCTAGTTACTGTCTTAGAAATAATGATACTTTGTATATAGCTGAGCCTTCGGACAAAAATTTTGTTGCAGTTTTATGCTCATTCATGGTGTTGATGGATGGAATTATATTTTTACTCTGCGGGAAAGTTGACAAAGCAAGAATTGGGACCTTAAGTATGTGAACAGCTTAGTCCCCACTTTTCAGCTGAGTCCTGTTCTAAAGACATAATATGGTAGCTGGAACCCGCTTTGCAAGAATGCTGGAGAGCAGCAGATGAATAAAAATCCACTGAGCTGGGGTTTCTTCAAAGGAATAAACCCTTTAGAAGAACTTGAGAATCCAGATTAAAAAGAACATTTCATTTCCATTTGTAATATACCTAAAAGTGAATTTTTATTAAAAGCAGATCACATCACTTCAGGAAATTCAGAAAACTATATCTAAATACATGGAACACAAGATATTCCTCATCAATTTAGATTCTTATAGCCTCATAAAGATAAAATGCAGATGAATTGATTTAGATCAAGCCTTCATTAAATTTTAGAATTAGCTTTTGGAATCCCATGTATTGCAATGTGCAGAGTCTGATTCCTGAGCATTGTGACAAAGCCATGAGTGGATAATGATAAAGTGCATCATTGCTAGAAATAACACAGTCTGCCTTTGGTTTGTGCTCATAAACTATAAGACAACCTAAATTCCAATTTTAATATGAGAAATCCACCTCATTATAAGTAATCTCAAACTCTGTGTGTTATCAGCATTTTCATGTGTATTCTTTGGTGAGTCTGAACTATAATTTGCTGTTTATGCTTCTAATGTAAATCTCCAATTTCTGGTTGGCCACCCTGGCACTAAACCAGCACTCGAATTTATTTCCATCTCTCCTTATTTCTTACATCAGAAGAGACTGTTGGTTTGAATAAGAAACATTCAATCGACTTAGACGTGGGGTGGCAGGCAGCGCAGGCATTACCTGTTTACCTTTTATTGCCTGTTTTGAATTGGCTTTTCTGGGAACAAAACCAATAAGACACGATGTTCCTTCATCTAGTTTTCACCCAGGTTATTTATCAGAAGACACCCCCCACCCCCGGCCCCCACCCCATGGTGGGGTGAAGAATTCAGCCTGGGAGCAGGCTTCCAACCTAACACTATCATGGATTATTGCTCTCCCAAGTCATGAAGGACTTCATTGTCCGAAAGACCCTGGCTTGGGCTGATAATTGTTTCTGATTCCAGGACCTGCTGCTAACACATTTGTAAGCCGTGGAACGACAGTGTGCTGGGAACGGAACGCACACTCTTTGAGCCACTTTGAGACTTTGCAAGGGTTCCCCCCGCACCACCCCTGCCCTCGCTGTCTGGCACAGTCATTGGCCTGCTAAAAGGCAGAAACAATTTATTACACCTCGGGTGGTACTTAAAACAAACTTTATTCTCAGGAACAGCAGTTATGTCTCCTTGCTGCTGTATATGTTGCTATTTCCTCTAAATACTAAGTCTGTAGATATTCAATCAAATTGCTAATCACTCAATTTCCCTGCCACTTTCCTGGTTCTCCAGGTTGCCTCTCATGATACTCCATGTAAACACTGTATTTGCGAAGATACACAGATCAGCATCCCTAGAGTCACATGATCACATCAATCTGTGAAAATAGCATGACTTAAAAATTAAAGTCTCTTAGTACTCTGCCAACAGGCTTTGGCATGATCTTGGCAATTGCTTAGATTTTTTTTTTTTTTGCTGTTATAATTTTTCCCAAGTGGAAATAGTCTCATATTTTGCAGAAGTTGTCCAAGCTAGTGAACATCGATCCATCTTCCTGGGTACTAAATTCGTCAGCTGAACGCATTCAGTCCATATAGGAACCAGTAAAGTGAGTGTGGAACTGCTTGGTGGCTGCTCCTTTCATCTTAAGAAATTGCAATACAAATTCCTGAAATCATTTACGCAGGAATTTTTATTCTTTAAATCTTCCAGTGTTAAAGCAACAAGAAAACACTTAGAATGTCCTTTGGTGGAATCTTATTACACTTGTTATATATGTAAACTGATATTCTTTGATGCCAGCACGTTCGTTGCCCTTACAGAGAGATCTCTGCACAATGAAAACAAAACAGAACGCAAGAGGACAAAATAAAATGTCAGTCTTTGCTGCTTCGAATTAGATACATTAACAGATTGTCTGGTAACACAAATTGGCAAGAATACAAAAAATCTACATATTACAGTATTTCAAGAAAAATAACTTCATTTGAATACAAAAGGATAGATACACTTTCTTTTTTCCTAGAGCCACTCTTGGACAGTGGATGTGTGCTCACACTGAGAACGACTTCAGTGCTGCTAAGATATAGGGAGTATGACTGGCTTGAGCTTTTGGAGGGGGCTGTTACACATGTGCGTTACTAACATCAGACAAAGAAATCTTTCAACCAACAAGGGTTACAGAGCAACGTTCACTAAAGCACAGGTTGGAAGGGGTTCAGGGACTGAAGCAGGCCAATATGGCAGCTTGTAACAGATTTCCTTATACCCACAGTGCACTGCCAACAAAGAATGCTTCTGTTTGGTTGGTCCACACACTGGGCCAGTGGTGCTGGGGCACCCCACGGGAGAGTAGCGAGTGGTTGTAGGTTGCTTGATTTGTTTGTTTGTTGTCTTTCCTGTTTCGGGGCGGGGCGGGGGGGGGCTGTCGCTCCTTCCCAGTCGGCAATAAGCTCTGCAGCTGGCCTTGTGACTTGCGGTGATAGGATCAACAGCTGCCAACGCCTCTGGAGTCAGAAATGAACAGTCTTTACTCGGATGTGCTGTCCACGGCTGATCAATATGGCTTAGTTCTGTTAGGCCTTTTTAGTTTGTACACGGTGTCGGAGTGGGGGTGTCTGAGGGTGTGTTTCCTATGTTCTCAGCGAATGCTTGCGGGTCGCATTGGCCTCCCCCCCCCTCCGCGCGCTGCGGCGGCGGCGGCGGCGGCGGCGGCGGCGAGCCCTGGCCGGGCTGGTGGCCGGCGGCGCGCCTAGACGAGCAGGGGGCTGGCGGTGCCCAGCATCGCGGTCAGCAGCAGCAGCGCGGGGGAGCCGGGCGGGGGCGCCCCCTGGCCGGAGTCGGAGCCGCAGCTGCCCGCCTCCTCGCACCGCAGCTTCTCGCACAGGATGCCCGTGTACGCGGCCGGGCAGAGGCAGCGCACGTTGTTGTAGCACGTCCCTCCGTTCTGGCAGTGCAGGAGCTCGTTGTCGCAGACGTTCGCTGCAGAGCGGGGGGGTGGGGGGTGGGGTGGGGCGCGGGGAGGAGAAGCAGAAGCCATTTCAGTGCATCTAGTACAGCAGGTTTTCGGCTTAAAAACACCTCTACGGATCCTGTGTTTCCGCCCGCCCCCCTCCCCTCCCCTCCCCTCCCCTCCCCTCCCCTCCCTCCCCTCCCCGCCACAAACTAAGCACGTGACTCCCAATTTCCAAACAAATGTAGTTTGCTGCCTTTGTTTGTTTGTTTTAAATCATATTTGTCTTTTTCGTATAGATTTTTGCTGCGATCTTGGATAGTATCATTGTCCATGTCAGGCTATCGAGTACAAAGTAATGGAATACTCCTGGTTTCGCAGTATCTTCTCTTCATAGGACTGGGACCTGTTGGGACCTCCTGCGTTTTTAAAGGACAAGTGCCCTGATACAAGAATGCAGAGTTTTAAGAAGCCAGATGAATGGTAGTTAAAATGCAAATAGGTATGGCTAAAAGGACCAAGAACCTCCAAAGGGGTGGGGCATTCTCCCTGCAGGTGATTCCAGCGGCAGCATGCGGGAAGACAGGGCCTACGGGGGAGGCAGGACGAGGGAGGGGATGGGAGGGGGGAGAGGAGGGGGCAGGCAGCATGCTCCAGGCAGGCGGCAGCCAGATCAGAAGAGAGAAAGTGGGAGGAGAGTGAGGATGAGCCGTCATATTTGCCCCTGACAGCCTATTAGGATATTCACTGCCTTGTAAATCCGGGAAGTAGTAGAGTCCAAGGTTACCTTGATTTCCCGGAATGATAAAAAATGCAGTGATGAGACCCTGATTACCAAAATTTCGCTATGTCCGTCAATTAATAGAATCGGTTTGAATAAATCAAGCAAGCAATTCCAGATACGAAAATTCATTCATGGTCCCTGTCATGTAATTTTCATCTCTAATAATTACTTATTTCAAAGTTCTGGTTATCCTCATTAATTCCATGTCTCCTATTCTTTTAGATAATCAAGGTTTCACTGATTTAGCAGAATGTTAAATAGGACCCAGGGAAATTAAAATAACAACAAAGAGTAAAAGAGCCAAGAACACTTCCAACAACATATGCTGCTTAAGCATTTAATATATAGAACCACTCCGGAGCGGGGCGGGGAGGGGGGGTTAGGGGCAGAGCAGAAAAAGTAGATTTTTATAAATTATAACATTTTTCATTTTTAAAAAAATGTCATGGTCAAATTTCCCTGGGGGTACCACATGAATTAAACACACACACGCACACGCACACACTTAATATTACTATCAAGTTCAAAGTATTAAAAAAAAAAAATCTCCCAAGTAGTAATTCAATAAATGCTGCTTGTCCATTAATCATGTTCAGTAGTCATGTCACCTTGAAAGGAAGCTTCCTACACACAAACGTTCTAATGCCCTGTGTGCAAATGAGCTGAGGAAAGATAGTAGTGGATGCTCACAGAGTTAATAACAAAGTGCCCTCAGCGGGGCCTTGTTTTACCTTCTTCCACAATAACTCCTTGGCGACCTCTAAGACAGCTGCATAATGTATTGGTACAATTTTCAAAAGTACCCACACTTGCTGTCTGCAAATGTCAGAAGTGACTATTAAGGCCTACTAAATCCTTCAGGTTCCAAATATTGACATACAAGGTGGTGTTGTGGGGGCTCTAATGATTATATAAGCTGCCTCTCATTGGGTGGGAGAAATCTTGAATATTAGACCCAATTTATAGTATTTTATGTCATGGTTAAAAATGTCAAGAGCTGTAGCTGGGAGGCAAAAATCTACAAGTGTAGAGTGGTTCTACTCATGGTCAAAACTGGTTGTTGTTAATTTGAGAAGCATCCATATTTTTCAGCATTTTGTTTTGCTTACCCTTCAGGAAATAGCTGTTTAATTGGGGTAACATGGAAGAAACAGATCCAAATAACTGTTTCCATTTAAAGTTAAAGATTCTTAGCATTTCTAGTCCCAGGCAGCAGATTGCTGAATGGGATAGTTCCTTCCATTTGGGCACCAGAGGTAGGGAAATATCTGTTCTATCAATATCAATAATTGCTTGCCTTGGATTATTGAGAAGAAATCAATAATTAGATAGTGCTCCCCTTAAAAAAAAAAAAGCTATTTTTCTTCTTGGACTTGAAGGTAAATCAGTTGTTGAACAGAGATTTCTTTCTTTTTCCTTTCTTTTTTCTTTCCCCAAGAAGCTGGTGATTAAGTTAAAATCGAATACCTTTTTTACATTTAAATAATCTGCTAGTTGATGTTGGTGAGTGTGAGAAATTCAATAACTAGGCAAGGAACAGATGTAACCCAGGATTCATAATATCATGGATTGGGGAAGTAAATTTTTTTCTGTAAGAGATAAACAGAAAAAAATCAAATCTAGAATATATTTTCATTACTTTAGAATTCGCTATAAGACTTTTTACATTTAGTCTCCTGATTGTGCTATTTGACAAACACAGAACTTCATAGCTATGTGCAGCATTCTGTTGGAATCACGTGCTAGAAGCACATCTGAACCTAACTACAGATCTTACTTGCTATTCATAAATTTATCCTTCATCTTCATGTCTTTTTGAACCAAATTTGTGGTGCTTAATGAATAAACTAGGTGGCTAACAAATATCACTGAGCTCTTCTTCAGCATATGAAGCCTTTTACGAAACACCGTGAACAGATAAAAAATGATAAAGCGTGATCTCTGCTCTTATGGAGTTCAAGTCTGGTTGGGAAGCTAAAATATAGGCAAGACATGATCCAGTAATAATTTCATTAGCATGCCTTTATCAATTCCATCCGCCTCAGCCAACATCTGTTGTGGGCCAAGCATCCCGCTCGATTGTACTGTTGTACCTGCCCTAAAGGAGCTCACAGTTTGGCAGAAAACAAATGAAAACGAACATGCAGAAATAACTGTAATACAAAAAAAGACAATAAAGGAAGTATTTGCAAAATGCTAGGGGAACTGAGATGCTGGTGTAAATAATTATTTGGAGGAAGATTAGAAAAGATTCTAGGAAGGAGATTGTACTTGAACAATAGTGCACTCCAGGCAGATATTGGTAGAAGGAGCATTATGGATGGGGAAACTGTATGAGTATGGCCTGGGAGACTTGCAAGTGCAGAGTGCTGGTTATTAAGCAATTGTCTCTCAACTCTAAAAGCACCCTTCTTTCTGCACGTTGTCTCCGGCTTCCACGGACAGGGGAGTGTTGCCCTGTGATGGCCCTTCACCCCGGTAGCAGCATTTGGTCGCAGGGTGTAGCTTTATTCAGAACCGGCTTTATTCCCCCACCCCCTCCCCCCCTCAGAAGTTTCCTGCACCAACCCAGCGGCGTTCCTTCCCTAGAAGTTCAAGCTCAGCTCTGAGGGGCCCTGCCCAGGTTTCAGAGGTCCCAGGCAGCAGTCAGGCATTCTGTCCCCCCATGTCTGTGGGGTCTCCCCTCTGTCCTTTTAGTTTCTAATAACTCATCCTCTTTCCCGTGATCCTGCTGCCCAGGAGTGGTGCTGCTCTCTGCTTATTCAGTCTCTACTATCTCTGAGTGACTTCAGTGTCCTCTTCTCAGTTCTAAATTCCAAAACACCCGTTTAACTGTTCCCTTCAATGAATTTTCTCTGTTGAGATGCCTAGTGTGGTTTCAGTTTTCTGACAGGAGCCTGACTGAGAGACGCATGGAACACACTGGTGAATTGCGAACGGACTGGTGTGGCTGGAATGTTGGATGTGCACAGGGCAAATGGAGACTGGAAACGTAGGCTGTGGCCTGGTTGTGTACCTTCTTCATAACACACAACACAGAGTTTCGATAATAGGCAATGGGAAGCTGTCAAAGACCTAGGAGCAGGGTGGTGTTTTAAAGGGGGGAGACACAGGTGAGGCTTAGCCAGAGAAAGGACAGACTGGAGGCGAGGGGCCCAGATGCTTCAGTAGAACGGGCTTGGTCTGGTTAGAGCAATGGGGAGGGAGAGGGGATAGATTTGGACGCAGGCGATTTGAAATGGTTAAGAGAGACTCTGAGGTTCCTGTTTTCAGTATTCGGATGCATCGTAATAAAATTTATAAAGAAAAGTAGATTGGAGGAAGACTTTGGGCAGGGAAGGAAATGCACTTTTTTGGACCTATTGACTTTGAGGGGTCTGTAGGCTCTTCTTCAGGGGTCTTGTTCTTAGCTGGACAAACCAGTTAACCGTTCAGGAGGTAGGTCATCCTGGAGTTACAGGTTTGGAGCAGGGGTGATGGTGGTCATTGTTACAGATGGAAGTGAAGGGACTAGAAGACCTAATCTTGGTAGAATGTAGCGTAAGGACAAGTGAAGGCTCTGGATCGAACACTGAAGAATATCAGCATCTAGGCCACAGGAAGAGAATGAAAGATCACGAAGGGTCCTGGGAAGAAAAGATGTCAACAAGATGCAGTGGTCATATGAGGGTATACAATTAATTCTAGAAGCCTTTCTGCTGTGGGTGACTTTATCTAGGGATAAGCAAACAGACTGGAAGAGTGTGAGAGAAGGGTACTTTGAGTGAAGGAAATTGCACAATAAGGATTACATGTTCTTGATTGAGTCTGACAGAAGGGATTTGGGAATAATTAAAAAAAGGATTGGAGAAATTTAAGGAATTAACATTTAACAGAGGTCTTTGGTTGTCAGTCTAAAGTAATGCTTTTCAACAGTGGATGATTTTGTCTCCTGGGGGAAATCTGACAATGTCTGCAGACATTTGGTTGTCACACCTCAGGGGAGGGCATGCTACTGGCCTCTAGTGGATAGAAGCCAGAGATGATGCTAAATATCCCGCAATGCACAGGACAGCTCCCCCCCCCCCGCCCCCGCCCCCGCCCCCAACAAAGAATCACTCTTCAATTAATGTCGATGGTAAAATGATGAAGTTCTGGACCAGGGTGTCAGCCATAGCAACGAAGAGGAGCGGTTGTCCTTACATATACTGGGCAAAGGGGAATGAAGATGCCTTGCTGATTCTAGATCACAGAGAGATAGTGAGT